GTTGTTGTATTTTGTGAGATTTTGGGTGTTTTGGACTTGAATTTGGACTTGGTGTTGAAAATCCCCGAAGGGATTATTTTTGTACAGGGTTGGTACCCACGGGCGGAACGGCGGGTAGTGGCCTACCCGCCGCCCCACCCGCGGGGTACACTTGGCTGGGAGAATGGTTCCCGCGGGCGGAACCACGGGTGGAGGTCCACCCGTGGCCCCACCCGCGGGGTACACCTTTGGTGTTGTTTGGGGATTATCCCCGTGATTCTTTCGACTAGGTAATTGATGTTTTGACTTCCCGATGTTGTTTTGTTGGGCTATTTGAGTGTCTTCTAGATGTTTCGTATGTCTAGAATGGTATGTTAGGAATCCTTGTAGGATTTGGTGTCTTGAATCGTGCTAAGTGTTCAACCTTGCGATTCGTTGAGCCATGATGAGTCTTGTATGTTCTTCGGAACTATGTTTGGTTTACCCGTTTGATAAGCATGCTAGTTTGATGTTGAAATGCTAGTGTGTGCTGTTTGTTCTTTCCTATTGTGGATGACAACTTGTGTTGATCATCGTTGGTGTCGGATTGTAATCCTTCCTTGATTGAGCATGGTTTCATATCTTTGTTGTGATCCATTGATTCATTCCTGTGATGAAATGTGTGTATTGGCTGTACCTGAATTGCACGATTAATTGTATGGGACATTAATCACCAAGGTACAAATGTGGTCCTCGTGGTGGCCATGAATTGAGTTTGGTAGTTTGTTATCGTGAGATTAGCTCACAGCTGTGGCGGTTTTGTGATATGATCTTGCAATGTACCCTCGTGTACTGTGCGTTCGGCGATTTTGTTTGGCGGTTGTTGGAGGGGGAACGACGGTTCCCGGAGGTAAAAGGTTGGACTTGGAAGTACAGGGTGTCACTCGGAGGTAAAGGTTGGAACCGTAATAAGGCCGGGGTAGCCATAAGGTTGGAACAGGGCATAAGGTTGGAACTTGGAACTTGGAACTTGTGACATGAAGTGTCACTTTGGCATATAGTGCCAATGTGTGGATGTCTATCCTTTTCTGATGAGCATGTCGGGTGGTATTCTACTTTGTGATCAGTAGAATACTCCTCGAGTTGTACTTGTTTATTGTTGTTGTCTTTGCCTTGATGTTTTCTACTTTGTGATCAGTAGATTATATCTTGAGTTGTGTTGAGTTGTACTATTGTTCTTCTTGTCTTGTTGTTGTCGTGGGATGTTGACTTCCCTTGTTCTTTTGAGAGTGAAATAGAGTCTTTGCAGTTGACTTCTCTCTTTACGGTTTGAACTGATATATACTGTATTCCGTTTCGAAAATGATTTTGCATTATACTATCTATATATGCTATTGAACGTGTATTGATGGGTTACTAGCAATATTCGTTGACCGGGCGTCGTCCCCTTGCTTTATGTGCTTTACAGGTCCTGAGTAGACATGGCGAGAGCGTTAGCCGTTGGTAGTTTAGCTCATTTGAACAATGTAGTTAGTGTTTTGGCCTGTGTGCCACAGTTGTTGAACAATATAGTTTGATGGTTTTAGATTTGCCTGTGCGTTCATGTTGAGGTGAATGTGGCATAACGCTCCTTGGTTTTCCCCTGTTTTTATATTAGACTTCCGCTGTGCTTACGTTTATGATATATGTTAGTTCCTTACCTTACGTATTTAAGTTTTAAAATGGCATGAAAATCGGGGGTGTTACAACACCCATGGCCAGCCCTCTACAACTCATACCAGCGCGTTTTTTTACCCTTTTAAGGGGATTTTTCCACCCCAAAACATATCTTTCATTACATCTTTCATTTCCATTTCATTTCCCTTTCATTCCTTAGTTAGGTTTAGCTCTATTGTAGCTTAGATTAGTGTAGGTTTCTTGTTTCTTTCCATTTCCAAGCCCAAGAACACATTGCAATCTTGAATTTCAAGGCTTCAATAGAGAAGTTTTCTTATTATCTCTTCTCTTTACTTTTCATCTATGCTTTCAATTACTCCTTTAATATTGTGTATCTATTGTTAGATTATGAGTAGCTAAGTGTTTTAGGACTTGAATTTGGTTTGATTTCTTGCTATTGATGCCTATTTGAGTTGTATTGCATAAAGGGGATTATTTCGGTGTTCTAGGGTTAGTTGTGCGAATTGGGTTTGTTGTGAAATTGTTTATAATTGTTGGATCCCAATTATATGCTTGATTTGGTGTGTGTTTGTTGCTACGAGAGTAGAGCTTGTACACTAGCCACACATTCACACACTTAATCCCCAATACGAGAGTATTTCGGGTATTAAGGAGAATTTATGCCTTGTGTTCTTTGCTTGGACAACCTAGGGTTGAATTGCCATGAGAGCGGAGTTTAAGGCGAGGTTGCAAGTCCTAATAGCTACGAGAGTGGTATTTGGACACTTTTGTGCATCTCACTTGCCCTATGCCTTGTTTTAATTCCCTAATCCTTAGTACAATTTTTGGCATCTTAGCTTGAATCTTCCAAATCCCGGTCCTTTGTTTGACTTTTCTTATTTGTTATTAGCTTAATCTTATCAAACCAACTCCTTACCAATAGGTCTAGCTTCTAAAAGAATAGTTCTAGCTTGTGTTTAGCTTCACTTTGCATCAATTCCTAACATTACAAGAGCCATCTCCATTGGAACGATATCTAAACTATATACTGTAATTTGATACTTGATGGATGCGTGAAAAACGTCCTCATCACACCTAATCATCCAATCTCTGTTGAGGAAAACTTGGATGATGTTGAAAGATTAGAGAAGGGTACTCTTTCTATTTTCTAACTTTCTAGGTTTCAACTTTATAAATTATTAATTGTTACAGTTTCTAAACTCTTTTTTGTTTTTTTTTTTTTCTTTTTGTGCAGAATTGTCCACTGAAGCTGCTGGTTCTTCACTAAGTAGTATCGGAACACTCCCAATTGAGCAGGAAGAGGAGGAATGAATGAATGCTGAATTGCTGACAGCCTGAAATCCTGAATGTTGAATGCTGACTGCTGAGTACTTGAGTAGTTGAGTGCTGTAAAGTGTAAACCTGTAATAGTGTGATTTTCTTATTGCTGACTTGTGATTTGTGAATTGTTGATTTTGTGAACTTGAATTTTTCTTTTTGAATACTTCACACTTGGACTTGGACAGTTTGAACTTTGAACTTTTGTGAATTGTGATTGCAATTTGCAAATTGCAATATGTAGCTAATTAGCTTTGGTAATTTAGTTTTAAGTTCTTATTTCTTAGATGTAACAATTAATGTATTAAGTTTCAACTTTCAACAGGTTTTTTTTTTTTTTTAATGTTGTATAATCCGAATTGAAACCGAAATCTGACTCACACCCAACCCCATCCGAACAGGAGAAATCCGAAAGGATTATGTAATAAATTTGAATTGATTGGAGAAGCTTATTCCAATCCGAAATCCGGACCGGTAGGCGGTTCAAAAAATCTATCCGCCTGAACCCGTCCGATGCACAGCCTTAAAGTCTGAGTGCGAGAAGGGGGTGAAAAGTTTTCTGCTTTAAAAATCAAGGATGATATGGAAAGGATTAAAGATTTGGAGATACTTTGTTTAAATGATTGTTTTAGCTTTGATAGTTTTACGGGTTGTGTTATTCTCATTTAGTTATAGAGCATGAGAGCTTTTGCATTGTGGATTATATAATCTTTTAAGTATCCTAAATTTATGTAGAGATACAAAGATAAGTGAAATTGCACCGTAACACTTGAAATATAAAAACTAAGTGTTTTTACTTTTTAATTAAGTTATGCACCAATTTAATTAATTAAGTAAACTCGTTTATGCAAGTTTAAATAATAACTGCAGAAAGCATAAATAAAAATAAAAACACAAGGAAATTGTTACGCAGTTCGGAGCTCCTTCTCCTACGTCTGCGGGGCAACCCACGTCTGCCCAATCCACTATAGATGTTCACCAAAAGGAGTATTACAAGAGGTAAATGAAGACGGCTTCCATCCTTTACCACTACCACTCTTTCTAACACCTATCCAGGACTGACACACGAATACCCGAACAATCTTCACAAGTTGCTTCAGCAGTACCACGTACTGATCATGCAGTACAGTTTAAATACTCTTAATAATTAAATCAGAAATCACATTAAAACATAAATTGCTTTGTAAATTCAGAATAGCTCTCGCAATATGTAATGATGAAAATTGGCAATTGCTTCATTCGAACATTGTGCTTTTATAGTGCTTCTTGAACCTTTTGTTTAGATCCTCATCCGTAGCCTTCTTCTTTGCTTTCCACTTGTTCGAATAAGCCACAACCACTCATTTTTGTCCTTTGAAAGCTTCTTCGTAGATTTAAGGATACAATGCATGCAGACCACTAATTTCATACTCTCATGGTCCATAAGAATTAAAACAAGCTACACTAATTTATTTTAAAACTAGTAAGTCCAATAAAATAGCCAATAGTGTAAATTTATTTTACACTTACAATCTCCCCCTTTGGCATTTTATTTGGAAAACTTGAGTATCAAATACTTTGGGCAAGAATCAATTAAATTTTATTTATAGCCCTTAGTATAGGTACTTAACATGACATAGAAATTTAAAATCACAAAATAACAAACTGAATTCTTTTGGACCACTTGTGAGTAGAGAACCTAATTGGAAATCTTCAAATCTTGAATCACACACAGAAGCATTTAAATCATAGCATACCATATCAACGATTCACATGTGCAAGTGAGACACCATACCAAAAAAAATCCATACTGTTAGTTAGGAGCACCAACACTACTATTACTCCCCCTAACTAATATAAGTCCATTATTACCATATATACTAGCATAAACACTTCCAAAAATAACCAATACCAAACCGAATCCAACAGTGCAGCAGTCATCCAAATCCAAAGTGGCAGAAGATAGTAGATTTCAAAGTACTCTCTCGTAATACTCCCCCTTACTCCTAACTCCCCCTTTTGCCAAATAAATGAAAAAGGTAGGTGAACATCAAAATAGTGGATTAGAGTTACCGTGCAGACGGGGTGCCCGAGTCTGAATCATTTTCTTCATCTTCAGAGTCAGAATCCGAGGGAGCAACACCAGTGTGAGCTAGAATCTGAGCGTGAATAGCTTCCATGCGGGCGATTTCTTTGAGTTGCGCATCACGAAGATTTTCCAGGCCAGAGATGGTGGCTTGCTGAGAAGCAACCGATTGTTGAACCTGTGCAATAGATGCCTCAAGAGTGAGCACAATCTGCCTACGATCAACCAATGTTGTGGGTTCTTTGGGAACCTGTCTAACTCCTGGACGAGAGGCAGAAGCCGTGTCAGCAGATGAAGCTGGTGCTGAAACCAGTGGAGCCGGATGTGGAATATCAGGAAGCTGAGCAAGAGAAGCTTGGTCATCATAATGGCCCCGTTGAGCAAGGCGATCATCAAATATGTAGGCATTGTCAGGAGTTGTAATGACTTCTTCCTTATAGGGTTTAAAACCGTGATCTTGAAGTACCCCGTAGATTAAACACGGAAAAGGTAGATGGACTTTGGTTTCCTTCTTCTGCAAAAAAGACATTAAGTGAGAGAAAATAACCATGCCGAGGTTGAATGGGAGACAGTTTCTGATTTTGTATAGAAGGCCAGCAAGATGTTCAGAAACTTGGTGACGACGCACAGCCGGGACCCAATTCGCAGAGGCAAGGCGAAGAAACACTGAATAAACTGTAGTGAGTTTCAAGCTTGAAAGTTCGTCACTCGGCCAAGACACGTTCTTGTTATGAGTGAGAGCAGCGGCCAACAATTGAGGGCTAGGATCCGGAGAAGCATGATGATTTGGGGTGCCCAAATATGCATTAAACTCCGTAGGCCCAAAGGGATACCAAGTGCCGCGAATGAAGACTTGATGAAATCTTGCGGAGCCTTCAGTGAATGTGTCCAATGTCAAATTAGTGTAGAATTCCGCCGTCAACCATGTAGAGTAGGGACCAACATGTCGGAGGGAAGCAAGCAAACTTTGATCACGCAGTAGTGGAATAATATTACACTTGGCAACCAAATCTCCTTCATTGATGGTCTTTTCGATGATGAAATCTCGGTGAACATGAGTCTGCCACACTGCAAATAAATTGGGTGATAGAAGTTTAGGTTTGTAGATCTTGCCGGACCCTCTTGATTTGGAACCAGATGGAAGTGGAACGACAGGTGTGTCAACATGGGCTCGGGACCGAGTGATTCTGGGCGGAAGAGTGGACCCCCTTCTTTGATGTTTTCGGTCAGTCTGACCATCTACATCAACTACAGCTGAAATCTTTCGCTTCTCGGTGTGACCTGCATCAGACAACTTTTCTTTTCCCTTTCGGGAAGATTTAGATAGAGGCACAGTAATAAGAGGAATAGATTCTTTAGTTGGTGACACAGACAGAGGTGCATTTTCAGATTTGGTCACTGAGGCAGGAATGTGAATGGGTATAGAGAAGGCAGAGCATGTCATAGGCATAGCAGGAGAAGATAAATTTTGAGCAATATTTCGAATAGAGAAATTTGATGATAGAGAGCTCACATAATCAGAGAAAGAAATTAAGGGAGTGGGATAGCCAGACAATGGATGAGAGGCCGGATCATAGGGGTCATTAGGCAATGGTAAAGAGCGCACATTTATGGAACTAGTAGACACAAACTGCTCAGGTAAAGAGACATTGAAATCAATTTTGCGAGAAGTAGATAAAGTATGTTCAAGAGGTGAGAGAGACAAGGGGGATACCACTGGATCAGTCGGAGAGAGAGGGACAGTCGCTGGTAGCGGCTCCGGTACAGCAGGTGCGGGTGTTACCTCGGTTGGAATGGGAAAAGGAGCGGCGGAGACATGGTGGGCAAGTGCAAGCAGTTGGCGTTGTTCCTTGTCTGAGAGATCGTCAAGCCAACAAGAGTGCTCTTTGATGGTGGCAAGAATACGATTAGTGACCTCAGGTGAGAATGGAGAATCTGCATTAATAATTTTGCAAAAAAGATGGGCTCTTGCATGTGAGGAATCTATAGAGAGAAAAGGGTTCTCCATTAATGGAAGCTTCGAGAATAGATGGCGAGAGTGGTAGATGATGAAGAAGACAAAATGGTGTAGCCTCTTGGTTAAGATTAGTGGACGGTAAGGAAGAGACAAACACTTAAAAGAGGATTTGATGGCTTCTCAAAAGTTGTGTGGGAGATGGGACGGGTAGAAGACTAGGTTATGATAAAGGCTATTTAGTAGGAGTAGGATAGAGAATAGGAGTTAGACTTGAATTAGTCTCCTAGATGCAACATAAAAGACCCGTAATCGATACAGGAAACATAGACTTATTAGGAAAAAAAATTAAAATTAAGCAATTTAGATTGAAAGAAAAAAAAAATGTCCCTGAGAATAATAATAATAAACACAACGACGTATCACTTTTTCCCTGAAAAAAAACGTTCGAAGAAAAAAAATTAGATCACCAAGAGAGAAAAAAAATTAGATCACCAAGAGAGAAAAAAAATTAGATCACCAAGAGAGAAAAAAATTAAAAAATTATAAAACAAATACCTGTGAGAGGAATTAGATATTAATCGTACAAACTCCGAGAGCTGCACGAAGTAATTCAAACCTGGATTTGTCTAATGGTTTTGTGAATAAGTCTGCAAGATTTTTGTCGGTCGGAATGTATTCTAACTTAATCTCTTTTTCTTCGACTAGTTCATGGATGAAATGATGACGGATGTCTATGTGCTTCGTCCGGGAGTGTTGGACCGGATTTTTAGATATATTGATCGCGCTCGTGTTGTCGCAGAAGAGGACCATATCAAAACCGTAATCGGATAGCATTTGATGCATCCAAAGCAGTTGAGTACAACCACTACCTGCAGCTATGTACTTAGCTTCTGCAGTGCTGAGTGATATTGAATTTTGCTTTTTACTCAGCCAGGCAACCAGATTTTTCCAAATAAAGAAACATCCTCCGGACGTGCTTTTTCTATCATCGGCGTTACCAGCCCAGTCAGCATCACTAAAACCTGTAAGACTAAGATTTGTGTCAGTGGAATACCAAATACCATAATTAATTGTACCTTTAACATATTTTATAATACGTTTGACTGCCTTCAAGTGCGATTCCTTTGGATCCGCTTGATAGCGTGCAGACATACCAACACTTACCATGATGTCTGGTCTACTAGCAGTTAGGTACAGCAGACTACCAATCATACTCCTATACAAGGTGGAGTCAACGGAAGTTCCTTGATTGTCTTTAGATAATTTTGTAGTTGTTGAGACGGGTGTTCGGGCATCTTTTGCAGATTCAAGACCGAATTTTGATATGAGATTTTTCACATATTTGACTTGAGAAATAAATATCCCTTCTTTTGACTGATTTACCTGTAATCCTAGAAAATAAGTTAACTCTACGATCATACTCATTTCGAACTCTTGTTGCATAACTTTGACCAGTTTGTCCGTTTCACCTGTCTGTGTGGACCCAAACATAATATCATCAACGTAAACTTGTGCAATGGTTATGTGTTTACCTGATCGTTTTATGAACAAGGTTTTGTCCGAACCTCCTCGTTTGTAATTATTTTGAAGCAAATATTGGGCTAGTCTTTCGTACCAGGCTCATGGAGCTTGTTTTAGCCCGTATAGAGCTTTTTGAAGCTTGTATACATATTCAGGATGTTGTGGGTCTTCAAACCCTTTTGGTTGTGCAACATATATATCTTCTGTGAGATAGCCATTTAGAAAGACTGTTTTAACATCCATCTGAAAGAGCTTGATCTTTAATGCACAAGTAATGGAAAGTAGCAACCGGATGGATTCCAGGCGAGCCACTGGAGCAAACGTTTCGTCGTAGTCGATTTCCTCAATTTGGGAATACCCTTGAGCAACTAGTCTTGCTTTATTTCGAGCGATATTGCCAGTTGCATCAGTTTTGTTTCGGAAAATCCACTTTGTACCTACAACATTTACGTTATTCGGTTTAGGAATTAGAGTCCATAGCTTGTTCCTTTCGAATTGCCCCAATTCTTCTTGCATGGCATTGATCCAGTGTTCGTTAGTTAAGGCTTCTTTGATATTCTTTGGTTCAAACTGTGACGTATAGCACGAGTATCCAGCTAGTTCAAGATAGTCACGCTTTGGCTTGCCTCTAGTTTTCACACCTGAATTGGGATCTCCAATTACATTTTGAATTGGATCATTTTTCTGGATACGAGTTGGAATATCAACATCAACATGCTCATTTTCTGATTCTGTCTCAGGTTCAGATTCAGGTTGATTGCATATGGGCGATGAAGCAGGTGACTCATGGTCTGGTTCTGGAGTACCAGCGTCAGGGGTACCAGCGTCAAAAGTTTTAGGGCGGTTTGTTTCAGATTCTGTCACTGGGTCAGTTTGGATAGCTTCAGTAATTTCACTGGGTTGATCATCAATGACGACATTTGTGGATTCCATGATGGTTTTGGTCACTTTATTATATACTCGATAGGCTCTGCTGTTGGTGGAATATCCGAGAAAATTTCCTTCGTCGCTCTTTGGTTCAAATTTAGAAGTAGGATTCCTATCTTTCAAAATGAAACAGCGTGAGCCAAAAATGTGAAAATAAGTGATGTTCGGTTTCTTACCTTTCCAAAGCTCGTACGGAGTTTGTATTGTACCCGGACGCAGATAAACTCTGTTGATGATGTGACATGCAGTGTTTACAGCTTCTGCCCAGAATTTTTGAGGTTGTCCTTTGGCGTTGAGCAATACTTTACCCATCTCCTGGATAGTGCGATTTTTCCGTTCCACAACTCCGTTTTGTTGTGGAGTTTTTGGGGCTGAATACTCATGTGTAATCCCTGATTGATTGCAAAAGTCATCGAACAGCTTGTTCTCGAATTCTCTGCCGTGATCGCTTCGGATTCTACTGATGGATTCGTTTCTTTCTTTATGAAGTTTTAAGCCGAGTGTCTTGAATGCCTCAAGTGCCTCGGATTTTTCCCTGAGAAACATAACCCAAGAAAAACGAGAAAAATCATCAACGCATAGTAGTATATATTTCTTACCTCCAAAACTTTTTGTCTGAGTTGGTCCAACGAGGTCCATGTGAAGCAATTCCAGGCACCGGCTTGTGTTTATGGTGTGTTGAGCTGGGTGAGCTGATCTGATTTGTTTCCCAGCTTAGCAGGCACCACAGATAGTTGACTCTACTTTCATCTTCGGTAGCCCACGAACACCTTCTATTTTTACAAGTTTATCGAGAAATCTATAACTAAGATGGCCCAATTTTTGATGCTATAGCTCAGCTTCATTCATGCTGGACTTGCAACATAGCACATTATTTGTCAGAATATAGCAATTATCAGTTGATCGTTTACCTTTCATGACACATTGATTTGTGTTGTCCATCACACTGCAGCTCTTTTTAGTGAAACACACGTTCCAGTTTTGGTCGCACAATTGACTTATGCTAATAAGATTAGCGTGAAGTCCACGGGCAAGTAACACTTTGTCCAGTTTTGGCAAACCAACTACATTTAAAGTGCCTACGCCAGTCACTTGACCTTTGACTCCGTCACCAAAAGTAACTTCACCGTTACTGGTATTGACGTTGTTCAGGAATTTTACATTCCCTATCATGTGACGGGAACACCCACTGTCAAAATACCATTTTTCTTCTTGTCCTGCACTTTTAGTATGAAACGAAACAAAAGATATATAATCAGCCTTTTTGACCCAAATCTGTTTTGTGAACGGTTGAATGTTCTTGTGCCTGAACTTCTCAATCCTTTGATCTTTGTAGAAGTAGTAACATTCAAGTCTGATATGTCCGTGTAACCTGCAATAGTGGCAAACAGGATTATATAGCTTATAACTCATCTTATGTACGTTTACTTTACCATAGGAGCGTTTCATAGTGCTGCATTCAGGGATGTCGTCTGGAACAGGTCCAGATGCTTTGACAAATATAGTCTTATCTTTGGAGTTATTGCCAGTAAAGCCCAAGCCAAATTTTGCAGAAGTTTTCCTGCCGGAATCAAGAATCTTATCGAGTGTTGAAGTGGTATCCATCATTTGGATTTGTCGTTTGTAGGTGCTGAGCTCCTATTTCAAATTCTGAACTTCTTGTTGGAGTTTTGCTTCTCGGTCAGCTGCTTCCTTAAGAAGTACCTTTCCGATTTGTACTTCGTGTTGTAGTCTTTCTTCTCGACCTGCTGCTTCTTTAAACAAAACATTCCTATCAGCAACTTGATTTTGATATACTTTATTTGCATTCGTTACAATCTCTATTTCACTAGCTAGTTTGCAGTTCATTTTTCTTAATGCTTCCCATTTGGGATACAACCTATTAAATTCAGCTTCAAAAGATAAAGCATTTTGTTCCACATCTTCTGCAGAGACGTAGTCACCACCTTTTGAGTCTTCAACAGGTTCTGAACTGTCAGTAAATCGTGCTGTGAATGCAACAAAATTACCCGAAATTTCTTCGACATCTGACCCAGTTGGTTCAACGTCGGGCTCGTCATTGCTCCAGGTAATGGCTGACATAGACTTTTTGCGTCGAAGATAGGTGGCGCATTCAGCTTGTACATGCCCAAATCCTTCGCATTCATTACACTTGATGCCTTTGTTGTTGGACCCTTCTTTGGACTGTCCTGGACGTGAGACAGACTGCTTGGCGTTTGATGCCCCTGTCATAGGTGTAGTTTTGAACGACGTTGCTCCCTTTTGTGAATTTCTATTGCGAGTGTTTTTGGATACCTGTTTCAAAATTTTAGAAAACTGTTTAGTTAAGAATGCAACCGTATCTTCACTAGTTTCATCTGTATCGGATACTACATTAATTTCTTCAGCGGCAAAAGTAATATTTTTTGTTTTTTTCGTATGCTCAGTTAAAATCTCCATTTCGTATGTTTTAAGATTTCCCATAAGTTGAGTAACAGATTTTTTCTCCCAGCCATCATGCTCTTGGATGGCTGTGACTTTCATTCGGAACCTGGGCGGTAAAGATCTCAGTATCTTCTTAACAAGTTTTTCCTGCGAAAATGGTTCACTAAGGACCATTGCACGATTTGCCAGTTCCTGTATGCGTGTATGAAAGTCGATGACTGTCTCATCCTCGTTCATGCGCAGTTCTTCGAATTCTGACTGGACCAGTTGCAGTTTTGACTGTTTTACCGAGGTAGTTCCTTCGTATGTAGACTCAAGAGCCTCCCAAGCACCTTTAGCTGAAGGAATACCTGCAACAATTGAAAACTGTCTTTCATGCATAAGAGAATAAATTGTGTCTAAGGCTTTATCTTGTTTCCTGCATTGGTTATTTCTGTTTGAGTCCACTCAGTTTTTGGTTTAGTGACTTCTATTCCATCAGCACTGGAACTGGGTTTAGTGGGATGTGTCCATCCTGTCACCACAGACCGCCATACAGCTTCCCCTTGAGCCTTTAGATGCGTACGGGTGCGTGCCTTCCAATATGCGTAGTTGTCGCCAGTCAACTGGGGGATGGCTTTAGTTCGATCCATTCTGCAAAACTCAATACCCCGTGAGATCAAACAAATAAGCAATAAACTTAAAAATAAAAAGAGCCGTTGAAGAGATAAATTCAAGATGCACGGATTCGCCAGATCGATAGACTAATAGATTAAGTCTACAGGCTCTGATACCAATTGAAATTGCACCGTAACACTTGAAATATAAAAACTATGTGTTTTTACTTGTTAATTAAGTTATGCACCAATTTAATTAATTAAGTAAACTCGTTTATGCATGTTTAAATAATAACTGCAGAAAGCATAAATAAAAATAAAAACACAAGGAAATTGTTACGCAGTTCGGAGCTCCTTCTCCTACGTCTGCGGGGCACCCCACGTCTGCCCAATCCACTATAGATGTTCACCAAAAGGAGTATTACAAGAGGTAAATGAAGACGGCCTCCAGCCTTTACCACTACCACTCTTTCTAACACCTATCCAGGACTGACACACGAATACCCGAACAATCTTCACAAGTTGCTTCAGCAGTACCACGTACTGATCATGTAGTACACTTTAAATACTCTTAATAATTAAATCAGAAATCACATTAAAACATAAATTGCTTTGTAAATTCAGAATAGCTCTCGCAATATGTAATGATGAAAATTGGCAATTGCTTCATTCGAACAGTGTGCTTTTATAGTGCTTCTTGAACCTTTTGTTTAGATCCTCATCCGTAGCCTTCTTCTTTGCTTT